GGATAGGGAGAGTGAGCTAAAAGTGCCCAAATTCTGGACCAGACCAACCATGATTATTCATCATTTCAGCTGCTTGTCTCAGATCCGTCAGATGGATCTGATGGGAGGATTTTGCCATTACAGCCCGTACATTGTTCTCAAACAGAGCAGTTAGATTACAGCAAGATTAGCAGTTTAAGAGACCACATCTCAGGAGTGCAGTCTGAAGCACAGCGTCCCTCTATATTTGTGGATAAGAACCTTGGTTGGCAATCCCACAGAGGTTCCCATTGTTCCTGGACATTCGTATGTACCCTTTGTCACCAAAATATTCACCCCAGCTGTTGGAAGGAGAAAAAACACACAATTAAACATTAAGAGAATAAAACACCTTTCTTTATGGGCAGGGTTCCCCTCCCCCATTTTCTGATGTGTTTCAAGATGTTTAACAAAGTGCATCCAATTCACACTAGTACAGACATATACAAGCACAGCTCTACACAGCTTACTCATGCCACACGCATATCCCAGGAGCACGTTAGTCTATAGATAAATACGGCTCAGTGATGGATTTTCTTTTACCTGTTTTTCACAAGCCAAAAGTCCTTCCCATCCAGGGTGCCATAGCCGATAGCTAGAACCGCATGATTCGTGACATGAGCACATCGTGGATCATCGTAGACTCCTGGAAGGAAAGAATGCACAATCACAAGGGAGGGAAAAAAGCCAGCAGGGAGTTCTCTGCTCAGTAAAGTTGTTGTGAGCAGCAGCACCCACATGGTATCAAGATGCCTCCTGTAGGCGGGTAATAACAATAATCGCTCACTCTTTTCGTCAGTAGATCACAAAGCGGGTCAGTCTCATTATCTCCATTGTGCAGATGGGGACACTGAGGCACAGAGCAGGAAGTGACTTGCTCAGAATAGAACCCAGCTCTCCTAAGCCCCAGTCCAGCGCACTGTCCACTGGGAAGTTTAATTTCCATGGCCTGTACAATCATTGAAATGCTCCATTACCCTCACCCATCCCGTGAGTTATTTCAGTATCCCAACTCCCATAAACACCGGGAGGGAATCTTCCTCCCACTATGGTCCCCTCACAATGTTCCCTTAAAAGCCCCAAATACAGAATTCCCTCAGCACAGGAACCGAGTAAGAGAGCCACAAGCTGTCTTAGGAGGCTCCGTTCCGAAAGCTTTGGCCTAAGGGGCATGCCAGCCAGGGTTAGGGTCTACAGCAATTCTGTGTGGCGCTTGGGAGCTTGCCATAACTTATGCAACGTCCAAGGCTGCCTAAATTACCCCAGAACTGGGCTGAAAGGCCATTTTAAAGCCACCCTGGGCTGAGTTCGGTGCAACACAAAATTGCAGCCACAATATCTGACAGTGCCTGGAATACAACCCAGTCAAAACTAATTAAAAAAGCACAGGTTAATGTAAGCCACGCTCACTCGGTGAGGCGTTCTGTCCCCCTCTAGTGGTGGCTGGGCCACAGAAAGGTTGATGAGCCTGCCACAGCCTTGGTTAGAAGAGGTTGGGTCTTTCAGATCAAGCAGGAAAGGCTCATGCGTTAAGATTCAGAAGTTCCACGTTCGCTCCCCACTGCTCACCCCGACATACTGGCATTACATTAACATGAGTGAAGGGTCCACACTGGGGTGCTATTTTAATGACACCCTGTAAGACACCAGCAGGAATTGAACCCGGGGTCGTTAGCCCTTGGAGCACCTTTTGAGCTAAGGGACCATCTCTGGTCATTGGTTATTATTAATTCATGTTAATTTATCTGCCAGCACCAGACATAGACCAGGGCCCCACGGCGCTAGGTGCTGTACAAACGCAGAACAAAAAGGGCAGAGAGCAGTGAGCAGGGCAGTGGCCTCGGGGGAGAGGTTGGAGTGGGGAGTGGGAAGAGGTGGAGCGAGGGCGGGGCCTCAGGGGAAGGGGCGGAGGGGGGGCGGGGCCTCGGGGCGGAGTGGGGGTGGAGCACCTATGAACCAAGAGGTTAAATTATGGTGTCACTCAAAAACAGCAAAACGTGTTTTCAGCTGCCTGTGGCTTTTATTTTATAATTACTGTCATTTATTGAGGGATCAAGAGATTCCAGGAAATAACAAGAAAACAAAAGCCAGGTCTCCAAGGGAAGAGCACAATGTGCACATCTCCTCAGTAACATGCTGCAGAACAAATAGCAGGTTCCTCCACATTCCTCTTCCAATTTAAAGAGACAGTCCACAGAAAGCAAAGGCATCACTGCTTCAAACTATGTACAGTACCGGGCGCAAGGTGTTCTAGCTTAGAGAACGTACCTGATTTGTACAGGAAAAAAGTAGGCTGTCTCGCATCTATGGAGACAGACACAGGTCCGATATTGGCTACAGCATCCTTCAGGGCTGCTTCATCGGCATACGGGAGCCTAACAAACTTGGAGCAGGTGGCGGCTCGCGTGGCAGGGTTATAGTGACACGTTCCATTCTGGCAGTGGCAAAGAGCAGATGAAACAGGGACATTTCAGCCTCTGGCATGAACATCTGACCCACTCGCAGAATTTGTTTTTATCTCCCTTCTATTCCTCTCCGTTGCCTGAATCCCTCACATTTCTTAGATCACTGCTTCTCCCCCTGGAGCATTCCTTCTGCCTCTGGGCATCGAGATCAGAGCTGTGACTAATGGATTTTTCAGTTCAGTGACTTACCCAGAAAAACAAACAAACAGAAGAAAACAAAACTAAACAAAAACCTAAAAACACCCACTGGTTTGTTTCAAACCAAAACTGCATTTTTTTCAGTTTTATTTGCTGAAATGAAAAATCGAAAAAATTTCATTTGGTTCAAATGAAACATTTCGAATGTCATTTCATTTCCGAATGATCTGTCAAAATAGTTCTTTTTGACATTTCCTGGGGGGGAAAATCAGGGAGGGTTTTGGCCGAAAATTTGCCAAATTTAGGTCAAAT